ATTCATTTTGTTTTGCTGTATTTGGAGACGTAAATGGGTCCTTTTGTACATGTATTTTTGGATGATAATGGAAGTTATACTTTTGCTGTTATTCTTTTCTTTTTGTACCTTTTATTTTCGGCCTTAATATTGTTGATGGCCTTAGCCGCGTGCGCGACTTCGACTATCGTCGAGTTACTCGCTGTCATAGTCGAGCTGGGTCGACTTATCGGCGTCGATGGCCTTAGCCATTATGCCGTTGATGGCCTTAGCCATGTGCGTAACTTCGACTGTCATCGAGTTACTTGCCGTCGTAGTCGAGCTGGGTCGACTTATCGGCGTTGATGGCTTTCGCCATAATATCATTTATGGCCTTAGCCATGTACGTGACTTCGACTGTCGTCGAGTTATTTGCCGTCATAGTCGAGCTGGGTCGACTTATCGGCGTCGATGGCCTTAGCCATTATATCGTTGATGGCCTTGGCCATGTGCGTAACTTCGACTGTCGTCGAGTTACTTGCCGTCATAGTCGAGCTGGGTCGACTTATCGGCGTCGATGGCCTTAGCCATAATATAATTGATGGCCTTAGCCATAATATAATTGGTGGCCTTAGCCATGTGGACGACTTCGACTGTCGTCGAGTCGTTTACTCACCGTAGTCGGATCTAGGTCGACCGTTGGCGGCGATGGCCTTAGCCATAATATAATTGATGGCCTTAGCCATAATATAATTGGTGGCCTTAGCCATGTGGGCGACTTCGACTGTCGTCAAGTCGTTTACTCACCGTAGTCGAATCTGGGTCGACCGTTGGCGGCGATGGCCTTAGCCATAATATAATTGATGGCCTTAGCCTTTCACACATTGGAGATGGTCGTAGCCTTTCATACATTGGAGATGGCCGTAGCCTTTAATACATTGGAGATGGCCGTAGCCTTTCATACATTGGAGATGGCCGTAGCCTTTCATACATTGGAGATGGCCGTGGCCTTTCATACATTGGAGGTGGCCGTAGCCTTTCATACACTGGAGATCAAGCTAGTCCAGTGCCTTTATCATGTCGGCCTGGAGGTCGTAAGGAGAGGTTGATATGATAAACTTGTTTCGCAAATATCTCCAAGTGTCCCCTCCGCCGCCTCGTTAAAACCCTCCCCGAGAAAACCCAATTGGGACAAAACTCGGGTAAGGGAAAAAGAGTACGACTCGGGAGACTCCTTTTAGAAGTGTAAATACTTGAGGTGAGTAACGTTCCAGTTGTTTTGGAGCGTTTTCCCTTCCATTGTTTCCAACTGGAATGCGCCTTTGCTGGCTACTGCTGTGATTTTGTAGGGTCCTTCCCAGTTGGTGCCCAGTTTCCTTTCACTTGAGTCTTTGGATGCCAATGTCTTGGCTTTAAGGACATAGTCTCCCACCTTGAGTGGTCTTATTTTGGCCCTCTTGTTGTAGTATCTTTCGACTTGTTGCTTTTGGGCCACCATTCTGATATGGGTCATTTCTCTCCTTTCCTCAGCTTCATCGAGGTCTTGGAGCCTGTTTGTGTCGTTTTCTGTTCCACTGGTGTGTGAATATCTTAGGCTTGGTTTGCCGACCTCGACGGGTATGACCGTGTCGGTTCCGTAGACCAGCGAGTACGGTGTTTCCCCCGTGCTGGATTTGGGTGTGGTCCTGTGTGCCCACAACACTTTGGGTAACAGCTCGGGCCATAGCCCTTTGGCGTCCTCGAGTTTCTTCTTTAGTATGTTTAATATTGTTTTGTTGGAGGATTCTGCTTGACCGTTGGCGGCAGGGTGATATGGCGTGGAAAATATCCTCTTGATGCGCCATTTCTCGAAGAATTCGGTTGTTTTTTGACCGATGAACTGTCGTCCGTTGTCACAACTGATTTCTTTGGGGATGCCGAAGCGGCATATAATATTTTTCCATATGAAGGCGATCTCTTCTTGTTCGCGTATTTGGGCGTATGCTCCTGCTTCCACCCACTTGGAAAAATAGTCAGTTAAAACTAATAGAAATCGTACCTTTCCTCGTCCCGCTGGTAGGGGACCGACTATGTCCATTCCCCATTTGATGAAGGGCCATGGGGAAGTGACCGAGTGAAGTGGTTCTCCTGGTTGATGTATCATGGGGGCATACTTTTGGCATTGTTCGCATCGGCGGACATATTCCGCTGCGTCTTTCTTCATAGTGGGCCAATAATAGCCGGCTCGTATTATGCAGCGCACGAGGGCGTGGTTGCCTGTATGGGCACCGCAATGTCCTTCATGTACCTCTTCGAGCACTGGCCGTATTTGTTGCGGCCCTAGCACTTGGCCAGGGGTCCGCAAACG